CGGGACCACCCAGCGGAGGCTGCTCCACCACCTCTACTGGCCGGGGATATTTGCAGCCGTGCAGCGGTACTGCCGATCCTGCGACTCCTGCCAGAGGGGTGGGAAGGCTCAAGATGGGAGGAAAGCTGCTTGGGGGCCCTTACCCTGTATGGAGGAGCCTCTGGGCTTGCTGAGAGAGTTATGGGAGGGGAAGGCCTCCCTGGATGGAGCGCCGGGTGTAGAAGCCGCCCTGGCTGCCCAGAGAAGGCTCGCTGGGCTCCTGGCCCCGGCCCGAGAGACCCTGGCCAGAGATCAAGGCCAGCAGAAGGGTGGGTGTGACCCCCGAGGACAGGCCTGTGCCAGTCCCCCCGGAGCGGTGCGGCGAGTGGACAGAGGGAAGCCAATTCATGTGGGGCCTCACCGTGGCTGGCCCGAGTCAAGGGGAGCACCCATGACCCCAGGGCGGGTTCCCACGCAGAGGACCCGAACTTCCCTAGTTCGCGAGCGGAGTGACCCTGCTCAGTTCACTCTCAGAGGGGGGAGAACTGTGACGTAGTGGGGGGGAACTTGCTGGTTTCTGTGGGTCTGTGGTAACCCCCACTGGCTCCCACTGGTACCACAGCCCAGAAGGACAGGGATGAGTCATTATGCAAAGGGATCTCTCAACCTGCCCACCCAGCTACCCCCCATGGAGAGGAACAAAGGAAGATGGAATGCCGCCCTGGCTGGGGGGCAGGGCTGGAGGAGAGTTAGTTTATTTTCTGTCTGGAAGGATGGAGGAAGCAGCCTCAGCAACAGGATGGGGGGTTTAGAAGCCGAGACACCCCCCATATCAAGGGGGGCTGAGGCATCCTAGGCCTGCCCTGTAACCTGATGACATCTGTGCTGTGCTGTATCCTGGAGAGGCAATAAACCACCTCTATTCTACTGGCTGGTGGAGTCTGTTCGTGCCATTCCGGGGGTGCAGGAGGTGGGGGACCCCAACGCGTCATCACACCCAGTTACAGAGATTTACAATTCAATCACTTCACATAACTTTATACCATGAAAAGAAGTTCTGAGATCAATACATGCAACATCCTAGAAGTATTTCATCAAGACTAAACCCTAAAGACATTCTTTTAAAATTAACATCTATTTGTATATCACTGACTGAGGGAGCAGTCTGCTTTGTCTCTCTCTGGTTTTGGTTTACTGTGTGTTATTGTTGTGGACTCTCAGATTTAAAGTATTGTTAAGTTACAACCTTCCAGCAAGAGTGTTTTTTTAATTATTTTTTCTAGTTTCTCGATGAACGTAACAGCACAGGATGCAGCATAGACTGTACAAACCCACCAGGGAACCTGAGTACCTATTTATGTTGCTAGCCCAGACTAGGTTTTGTGCTGCTACATCTTCATTGTTATTTTTAGCCACATACACTAAATTACAGCAAGCACAAGTCTGCTGAGTGAGGCCAAGTCCACACTATGGGGGAAGATTGGCACAGGGTACGCAATTCCTACTATGCAAAAAACATAGCTGGAGTTGGCATACCTTAAGCTGAGCTTCAGCACTGTCCTCACAGCAGAAGGTTGATGGGAGAAACACTCCTGTAGACTTCCCTTACTCCTCGCAAGGAGAAGGAGTAGGAATAGTGACGCTGATGGAGGCTCCCTCGGTGTTTGATTTACTGGTCTTTACTAGACCCGCTAAATTGAATGCTGGAAGATTGACCACCATATGTGGAGACGTGGCCTGAGCTCCACTCACAAGTCTGATTGCAACATAGGCGGATGTTCCGTCTCTCTAACTTGTTCCCATCTTTACACACAAGGCAACAGGAAGCATAGCACTGAAAAGTGACCTCTAGGATATGTGGCAACTTTGAACTTCCTGCCGATGCTTAAAACTTGATTGCCCAAGCAATGGACTTTCAAAATCTTCACCTCAACTGCGCTAATCACCCTGCTCCTTGCCTTAAAACTAGAAATGACACCAAAATATTAGAAGTACACTCATCTGATCCAAAACATGGAACCTCAAAAGACATGCTCCTGTTCAGAAGGGAATAAATTCATGCAAGTCCTGGGGTCTGCTTTGTACAAACTAGAGCACTACAGAGCTCTGTGGCTTTATCATCTAAGATTCTACGGAAATCAGCCTCCTGGACCTTCAGCCTTTTCACAGAACTGCTCAAATTGCTGCTGATTTGCCATGGCTGCTGTTGATTTCCCTCTTCTACTAAACTGAATGAACATCATTCCCCATGGCTTACAGTGAAAGGGTCAAATTAATCTTTGAAATCAATGGGCTTGGGCCTGTTTACACAGAGGCTGAATTTGGCCTGGGGAGGAGGGGGGGGGGGTTGAAAATAGGCAAGGAAAGCTTGCTGATGACAACTAAAATGCTCTCAGGAGAACATGTGGTGCACTCCCCCTTTCCTTTCTGCATTAGTTCCTTTCTTTCCTTCTTTTTTTCATTTGCAATGTAGCCTCCCTATTGGCTTTGTCCCCTGTAACCAATGCTCCATTTACAAGGATCTTTCTTTCCTCCCAACCCTCATTAAGCCACTATCAGAGACATCATCTCAGCATTTTTATATCCTGCCTTTTATCACTCTAGCACAGCAGGGGGCTTTACATCCCAGCTCTTCTCTGTCACCTGCCGCTTCGCTGACACAACTCAGGCATGGAGGCATGTCATTGATGTCACGCCTTTCATTCAGAAGGGGAAAGCCAATACATTCTGCTAGCAGCAGGTCTTGCTCTTCATGGATTTTTCATCTCAGCCCCTTTTCCAGACCCTTTGGAGTCAGACATTAATTTCTTCCCTGCAGCAGTTTCCGGGTTCATTGTAGACTTTTCACTGGAGAAAAAACAAAGCCAACGTGCTCTGCAAAAATAATTTTAAAAAAATCAATTGTGACTCTTATAAAAAATGGAATGGGCCAGATAAATCATTGTTGGTCCATTGATTTCAGAGGAGCAATACTAATTTACCCCAGCTAACGCTTGTCCCATCAACACTGTGTCTTCTTTTTTCCCTTTATACAACAATAATAGTCAGGGACAGATTAAAAAGCCCCTAAAGTTCCTGTGTTCTTGGTCCAGCCTTTCCTGGCAGTGTGAAGAAGGGGGAGGCAGCTTGGCATGCTGCATGCTCCACCCCAGCTGGAGCTGTGTCCCTGTGCTGCCCTTGCCAGGAAGCTCCACCCCTGCAGCTCCCATTGGCTTGAAATTGCAGCCATTGGGAGCTGTGGGGGCTGGTGCCTGTAGGCAAGTACAGGCCAAGTGGAGCTATCTGTTCCCCAAGTCTGCCAAATGGGAGCTGTGTCAGGTAAGTGTCCTGCACCCCAATCCCCTGCCCCAACCCCACTGCACCATAAGTCCCTAACTCTCTCTCAGATCCTCACCCCAATTATCAGACACCCTTCCTTCACCCTAAGTCCCTAACTCCCTCCCAGACACCACCTCAACCTCCTGATCTGAGTCCACTCCCACGCTCCAAACCCCTTAGCCCCAGCTTGGAGTTCCCTCCTAGTTTTGCAACAGGCTACATAAGAAGCACTAGCCAAGTCACTACAACCTAAAATTTCATATAGACAATGACTTGTCTGGTCTGCTTTATATACTATACACTGAAACGTAAGTATAATATTTAGATTACTATTGATTTATTTTATAATTATATGGTACAGATGAGAAAGTCAGTGATTTTTTTCAATAATAGGATGGCTGTGACCCTTTTGTATTTTTATAAGCTGATTTTGTAAGCAAGCACTTTTTAGGTGAAGTGAACGTGAGGTGCACAAGACAAATCAGCCTCCTGTACTCTGGAATGTTTGAGAGACACTGAAATAAAGCACATGAGGACTAACTATATACAACATGCAAGGCCTAGTTACACAGTCAGGAAGAACATAAGAACAGCCATATTGGGTCAGACCAAAGGACCATCTAATCTAGCCCAGTGTCCTGTCTTCTAACAGTGGCCAATACCAGATGCCCCTGAGGGAGTGAACAGAACTGGCAATTATCAAGTGATCCCTCCCCTGACACCCATTTCCAGTTTCTCGCAAATGGAGGCTAGGGGCATCATTCCTGCCCATGCTGGCTAATAGTCATTGATGGGCCTAACCTCCATGAATTTTTCTAGATCTTTTTGGAACCCTGTTAAAGTCCTGGTCTTCACAACATAGGGCACAGTGAACACCTCCAGAGCACTCACAAACTATTTAAAGGCATTTAAAGGCGACCGGGGCTTTTTTGCACAAAAGCGCGTCTAGATTGGCACGGACGCTTTTCCGCAAAAAGTGCTTTTGCGGAAAAGCGTCTGTGCCAATCTAGACGCTCTTTTCCGCAAATGCTTTTAACGAAAAGCTTTTCCATTAAAAGCATTTGCGGGAAATCATGCCAGTCTAGGCGTAGCCACAGAGTCCTATTTCTCTCTCTGTCTCTCATTCGCACACACACACATACTGTCCCAGGCCCATACGCAGAGGGGGGGCAAAGGGTGCAAATGCACCCCCCATGGTGACCCAAGGGCCCCTCTAATGGCTAAGCAGAGGGAAGAAATCAGTGTTTTAAGGAGGGGAGGGAAGGCACCCTCTGTACACAGAGACTCTCGCCACACTGGGACTCTCAAACCCATCAGCATCTCCCAGATGCTGGGTTGGCCAGTAAGCTAGTGGCCTTGGAATCACCCCATGAGGGACCAGGGAGCGGTGGCCGAGCGTGCGAAGTGCAACTCCAAGGGAAAGGAGATTCAGATGGCAGGTATCTACGGTGTGCTCCGAAGTGAGCAGCCTGTTCCCTTGCCAGGCGGGGACGTGCCCTGAGCCACCAAAGCAGCCTTGCAGATTGGCCTAGGGAAGAGCAAAGCCCCCGCCAGCCAGTCTCTGTCTGGGGCATCATCCCGCCCTGTCACACGGTGGGGGAGGGAGACAGCAAGGGCTGCAGGTCCCAGGCTCTGGCTGCCCCTTGGAACACACGTGGCCAGGAAGGCAGAGACCAGCTCTGAGTGCGCTGTTGGGTGGCTACTTGTGGGCTTGCCAGGAAGCAGGCCCCGCATTCCCACATCCATTGTCTGGGGGGAGCTCGTCCCAGGATGCTCACTCCCTTGAAGCTCCCAGCACGCCCCTCGGGCTGGGATTAGTGTGAAAGGCAGTTTCCCTTTGCACCACAGTGCTGGTTAAAGGCACATTGCGGGGGTGCCCTGGGTGCAGCACTGCAAAGCAAGCGAGGCTGGAACAGCAGAAGCAACAGTTTGGACACAAAGAGTCCCAGCAAAGGCAGGCACCTGGCACAGGAATGCGGGTTTTCCTAGGATGGGAGCAAGGCTAGGCTTGCCGCTCTCTGGGCTGCGAATGCTTCCCTGGGGCAGGCGGCTAAACAGCTCGCTGGGGTCACTGGGCAGCAGCAACCTGCACAGCTACTGGGTCATTGCTTGTCTTTGCAAGTCACCTTAAACCACGCATGTCCCTCAGTAAGCTACAGCCTCTAGGTCTAGTCTACGGAGGTTTTCCAGGATACTGGAGGGATCCCGGAAAAAAAATGTTTTTTGGAAGAGCAGACATGCTCTTTTGGGAGCCCTGTATTTCTCATTTTATGAGGAAGAAGGGCTCTTCTGAAAGAGGAGGTTTTCCCAAAATTTGGCCCTGTGTAGACGGGCCAAATTTCAGAAAAGCCTCTTCTGAAAAAACAATCGGAAAAAGGTACGCAAATTGCAGAGTGCAATTTGCGTACCTTTTTCCAAAAAAGACATGTAGCGTAGACATAGTGTGTGTGTGTGTGTGTGTGTGTGTGTGTGTGCACACGCGAGAGAGAGGGATATCAATATAGCTTGCAGTGTGTGTGAAAGAGATCACAGTGGCTTGCAGCGTGTGTGTGTCTATGTGATCACCATGGCTTGCAGAGTGAGTGAGTGTGTGTGGGAGAGAGAGAGAATAACAAAATAATTTTACCAATCACTATTTCCACTCAAATTTTGAACTCCTTTAGATTTAAAAAAAGGTGGTCCACATTTACAAATAAAAGCACCTCCCCGGTTGTAATCAATCTCTCTCTCTCTCTCTCACACACACACACACACACACACACACACACACACACACACACACACCTGTCTCTGAGTCTCACACACCTCCCAACACACTTGGTACTTCCTGCAAAGCACAGATATTTGCTGTAATTTTATTCTTTCAAAATGTGCTATTTTAGTGTTTTGACTAGTCCATGCATTTAATAATTTTTATTTCTCTTACACTTAAGTTTAATTCTTTGAGTAGTGAGTTGTAAAATGCCTAATTTATTTGGCTGGAGTAATTATCACTATGGTAATATTATATCTAGATTATCTACCTAGATAACAGTATATCTAGGGTTTTTGTTTCTAACGGTGGTGCACATCTGTACATGCCTAAGTGCACATAACAAAACGTATTGCTCACAGGGATGAAAAAAGTAAGAGGGAACATTGCAGCAGTACATGCGCAGCACCACTCAAATGTCAGGCAGACAGCATTGTAGGGGCTCCATTGTCTATATTGCACCCAGGCCCAGAATTTGTCAGCAGGCCCAGCAATCCCCTGGAGAACAGGGATGTCAGCCACACCACCTCAGTGTGGATAACTCCACTCTGTCTCCTTGCATTCCCTCTGCAATTTCCAACCCCTCCTTCTTGTACAGAGTGGCTACAAGTTGGTAAATAACTGCTGCATTTCACTGGTGGGTGAAGTGGTTCCTAAAGGAGCGAGCCAACAAACACATATGCTTGCAAGTCCTTGGCTCAACTAGTGTGAGCAAAGTTATTCATGGGTGTAATAGTTTGCAGATAGAGTGACTATTTTTCAAGATGTGTAGTGAAACACACGCTAGAATGCAAGATGCCATATGGCACTTGGATGAGCACTGTACAAACCCACAGAATAGTCTCTCTACAGAGAGATGTCAGTAGCCAATTATTGGAGGATCTTAAGGGCAATCTTCCAGGTCAGGTTGCCAGGTCAATTTAAACAAAAACATTTTCATCAGAGCTGCTGACCAGCAACTCCAGCTGGAGAATGGCAGGAGTAGCTGATACAATTTAGTTGTGTCATATGGTGGTTAATCTAAGCCAGGATGCCTACAAGACAGCATCAGTGGACAGAGGATGAGACACAACTATTACTCATTGTGCCAAAATATGCTTGTCTTATTGTTAACTTGTCCTCCAACTCTATTTTCCCAGCCACTGTTATAATCTAGTCTCATGTTAGTCTGTATCTGCAAAAAGAACGAGGAGTCCTGTGGCACCTTAAAGGCCAACACATTTATTTGGACATAAGCTTTCGTGAGTTAAACACCACTTAATCAAATGCATCTGACGAAGTGGTTTTTACCCACAAAAACTTATGCCCAAATAAATCTGTTAATCTTCAATGGGCCACAGGACTCCTCGTTGTTATTGTAACCTACACTGAAAGCTCTATGTGGCAGGGACCATCTTTTTAACAAGTGTTTGCATAACATTCAGCATCATGGGGCTCTGTGTGGGACTCTTAGACGCAACTGCCACACAGACAGTAATTGTGAAAGTGATCAGCAGTTCTCAAACTGGTACATAGCAGAGACTACATTTTAATACCGGGATTGTCTCCTGGGTGACCTCCCCTCCTCATCACATAAGGCCCCCTCAGGGAATGATCGCGGTTGCTTTACATGTTAAAATAATATTAGGAAAGTGTGTTAAAGTATATTTTAGCTTAATTTATTGGAATTTAGCAGCTGGAAATACAGAGGAGGAGCCAGCTCTCCACAGACCACCAGCAAGTGATCCGCAGACCAGATTAGACAGATGTAAGTGATTAGTTTGTTTTCCACAAAATACCATCTTTGAGATCTGGGCCCAGCTTC